AAGTAAGATATATATATATATATATATATATATATATATATGAATGCGTACGTGTGTTTCTTTTTTGTTAATATATAATGTTAGGACACCCAAATAGCAAAGCAATCGGTGTCTTCAAGTGCAATAAGCATCCCTCTAGTAGTAAAAATAAACCAAGTTCATCAAAATTGGACAAAGGGGTAGTCTATAGGTGCCAATAGAGAAGCATTTTCAAACAAAATGTCCTCCACACTCATTTGCACTGAAAGTACTAAGCTCTTTCTAGACGCTGAAATATGAGGAAGAAGCTTTTCAAGCAATTTTCTCAGGACAAAGCGCAAGGCAACTGGCGAACAACCCTCCGACGCTTTAGCAACCGCTTCAATGCAGGCGCTGCGCTCAGTGGGTTCCATCTCGAAGCTATCGAAAAAACGGTGGCACATGCCCTGCGCTGCCTGTAACGTGAGTGGCGGCACCAAGATAACGGACTCCAGCCTCCCTCGCCTCAGCAACGCCTTATCCATGACATGAGGGGCGTTGGTAGTGCCGATGGTCAAAACACCAGAGTTGCTTGTAACGCCGTCTAGCTCACACAGCAAACAAGCCAACATGCGACGATTAACATCCACACCGCTCCCACCACCAGAAGTGTCTGAGCCTTGCATAGCTCCGCGAGACTGTGCAATAACATCCAAGTTATCAAGCACCACCACCGAGGGTGTCCGCAAGCGTGCCTTGCAGTATACTTCACGAAGTTTTTCTTCGCTCTCTCCGAGATACTTTGAAAACAACTTCGTGCACTCAACAAAATGGAAAGCAACAGAGGGAAAAGCAGCGGCGATGTGGCGCACAAGTGCACTTTTACCACAACCAGAAGGTCCATGCAGCAGAATACCCGTTGTTGTTGGAAGAGACGCAAGAAGCTTTCCGGAAATTCCAGGTTCCTTTAAGGAAGCAAAAACAGAAATCAGAATTGATAAACGCGTCCAGATATGTTCAAGACCATATAGATTATCCACTCGTGCTGATTTCTGATCGCCTAATGAACCACTCAACCACTTCAAATGTCGCCGAATCATCGCAGACGGTTCATCGTCGAGAGCAGAAGCTCCGTCTCCGTGGCTCTGGAACGCGAGCTTCGTCATGCACAAAGCAATGAGGGTATCGCGAAAGGACATATCCAACACTGCCTCGGGTGCGATGCACTTTAATTGAGGAAAGTTAGCATCGGCCTCGAAAGGGAAAGATTTCCCAGGGTAATGGAGATTGGAGGAAATCGAGTAGATTATAGGACGGCGACATTGCAAAAGGCACGAGGGCACATCATTCTCACTCAGTGCGGATGCCACAAGCGCACAACCAGAACTGTGCAAAGCACAGAGAAGCAACTTTTCCATAAAGCGTGACACCCTATTGAGAGAGCATAGCTCGAAAAGCGCGTGCACATCATCGACTATCAACACGGTGAGTGGTGGGAAGGACAAAAATTTGAGGTCCTGTTCCGCCTTAAGCTGCCTTGACCATGACAGGAGCATGTTATAATCAACCCTACAAACGCGAAATGCATTCTTGTCCTCACTATCGGAGCTATTGTGGACTAATAAATTTGATAGCGTGTCTACTTCAGAAGCCGCGCGGGTATCAATAAGGCTTGTGAAAAGCGATCGTAAAACGAAAGACTTGCCACCCCCCCTCTGGCCGGTCAAAAGAAAGAACAACGAGACGTAGCTTTCATCGACTATTCGACAGACATCGGCGAAGAGCTTGTCGTGAAGAGACATGTGAAACAAAATGATATAGTAGCAAACTATATCAAAAGCTACTAATACGAAAGGTAAGAAAAATGAGAAACATATAAAATGGTTACTTGAAAAGGGCTTAGATAAATAAGGCTAACAAAAAAATGTAACTGCATTTGATCGTCCAATAATAGTTTAAGCATCATACGATACGAAGTCTTCACGATTCAAAACCCCATGCTCTTGCAAAACATGCTCGACTGTCTGCAGGCTGAGGTATCCTTTTTGCCTCCAGGCTTCCAATCCCGTGATTTGTTTCTTTACACATTTATTCTTGTATAATAGTACACAAGGAAGATGCTTCTCTGGAAAGTTTGGAATAGCCTCGGTGGAAATCATAGAAACAAACTTAGTGTCCCGGTTCCTTTGGGCTACCGTTCGAAGTACATTGAGCAAGGATTCACAGTCACTGTGGCCTGGTTTGATAAGTGCCGCCACGACCCAATTCTTGTCAGATGAATCTGTGATTTCCTTCACATAGTCTGCACCAGAGATATGACGTAAGATACCAAAGCATTCGGTCTGAAACTGCTTCTTGAGCTCTGCCATGCGTCGTTGGCGAATTTCACACAGAACCTCATCATCATCGTCGGAGCTGCCGATATTAGGAACCTCGTCATCGTGGCCTTTCTCACCCCCAAATCTTTGATTCAGCTTGTCTTCCAGCTTCTCTTCGTATGGGTTGTAAGATCTTAAACAAGTGTCTTCATTTTTTTCAGCAATTTTCTGAGCTAAAATTTCTAACTCATGAGTTTGGTATTTTCCTACTTTATTACCATATTTGTACTGAATCTCCTCCCATTCCGTTGTCCGAATTCGCCCAGCTGCCTCCCTTTCCATGTTTATATTTTCTTACACAACTTTCTTCTGAATGCGATGTTGCTCTCTGGATATGCAACCTAGATTTCACAATTCTTCCTGCGCCTATTGAATTAGTCAATAAAACTCCTTTAAAAGGTAAAATTAAGAAATAAAAGAATGAAGAATCAATTCATACCATCACAAATTCATTACAACGTATAATGTGCACAGAAGAAAACGAAGGCAAAGTTGGGCAGATAATTATTGTACATAGGTTTAAAAAATGCACACACAAAACAAAAAGAAAACACTATACATCTCTAATACAACAATAATAGTTGTTTAACTAGACTCCAAAAGCAGCAGTTCTTATGCAACCTTAGGTGCGCCTTTTTCTTATTTTTAGAGGAAGCATTGACATAAAATGTTGTAGTAGTATGACTATTGCGATTAGATATGAAATTTCACTTCAAGGTAAGTTGGGCCCCCTACTTTGAGCCAACTATTGTTCTGAGCGCAGATTTTTTCGAACTACAATGGGGCTTATAGTGACCAGACTGATGCATATCACCTGCTACCATGGTATATGTGTTCTTGGTGGATGACCATATCGGGATGGGACCAGGGAAACGATCGCGTGCCGCACGCATAACATGCTTTTCGGGTGAGTAAAGTTGATTATCACACTTAGGAACGCGGCGATTGCAACATGAGATATGCGAGTGTTCGTAGCAGGAGTGTGGCTTCTGCACAACCCCAATCCTTCCATGTTCATCAAACGCAAAATTTAATCGGTTTACCTCTTCCATTTCTTTTTCAGTGGGATCCCGATTGGTCAAACGGCGAAAGGCTTCTCTATAGGCCTCTACAGCAGCGACCGTTGCATCGTCTGCTTTTAGATTACGCTGAATTTTCGAGTGTGTCATTGCCTCTGCGTAGCGATATACAAAGTCTTCGTCTTTCCGACTTAATTGCTCTCGACTTCGTGTTTCCCTAAACGGGTCAGAACAATTCCGCTGCCCAAAATAGGAAGTTGAGCACTTCTTAAAATAAGTATTGTTGCTGAGAGTCTTCATGCAAGTGTCGAAAACCTCTTGCTGTTCATTTTTAAGATGAAGGAAGCGCTGCTTTGCGGTATTGTCAAGCCCTGGAACAGCTTTTTGTTGAGTTGAAACCGTTGTCGCAAGCACAGAAGCTGGTAAATTATTGTCAAACATAGTCAAATTGCGCTTGGGAAGAAGTAAAGACTGCAGGTTTAATTGGTTCACATGGTTGATTAGGTCCAGTTTGCAATTTTCACTTAGCCGGGCAGACCCCAAGTATTCCTGAAGGGATGCCATAAACCTTTCAATAATTGTCTAAAATTATATCAAATTTTATCTACTTCGACACTATTATCCAAATATTATTTGACGTTGGAAAAAAGGAAGGTTTAGGTCGAGATGTGGTAATGTTATGAATACACATAAATTAGACAAAACAAGGCGAGGAAAACAATGAACAGTAACTCATGAGGTCAAAGTCTGAAAAAGTAAGGAAGAATTGACTAATTGGAAAACCAAGCATAGTTGTATGATTTTTCAGAGAACAAGGGAAAGATACATGAAGGCAATTAAAAGTGAAATTTGGGAATCATACTATTTGATACTGGGGAAAAAATGGTCGAATAAAGGTTCATACACTCGTCAAAATAGAACATACAGCCCAAAAATGAAGTTATTGCTTAAAAAAAAATTGTGTTTTCCTCAGGAAAGCATGCTGATATAGAAAACGCCCTTAATAGTGATAGCTATGAAGGAGTTCAAAATTTTGATCATTAGTGTCGACTTGAAAGCTTTTGTCCCCCCAACTGAGGACTCAGTGATTTTTGTGCGATCTGAATTTGCTCATTAGATGCAATAATAGCACTTAAAAGTCCTAAAAAGGAAGCACTGGTTAAACCAATATCAACATTAAAGACGTTTCCTACACTGGATAGCATATCGCATGCATTTCGAGTCAATACAAAGTGTCGTAGTGTATAACTTTGTATAGTTTTATCCTTCACGAGGTCGTGCACATCCAGTATCACCGCGGCAACGTATCCCCAGAATAGAAATGCTCTGGAAAGCACCCTGAGTCGAATCAGGTTCGGGTTTGAATTATCAAAAAAATGTCCAAGGTACACCACATTGTCCAAAATGCTGAAAATGCCATCAAACAACACACGTAAGATGAAAATAACTTCGCGTAATCCAACCGCATTTTTTTCCAATGCGTCACTAATTTTTTTTGTATTGTTCACCCAAGATAAAAGACGCATCAAACAACGGCAATCAGACATAGCCGCGCTTACCTCCAAGTATTTCTTTTGACCCGATGCGATGCCAAGAAGCTTGAAAAAACACCCGGCTCCTTTTATTAGTTTATCACGAGAATCATTGGATGCCAGCCATTTTGCAACAATCTCAGCGTGGCGAGTAGGTAGCATTTTTAAATGTATATGCGCAGAATTTCAATAAAAATAGTTATCAAAGTTTTTCTTTCCACGTTAAGGTGAACTATAAAATGAGGCTAGCCCTTTTTTATTTACTAAGAGGAGGTAATCTACCGAAATTTTTGATGTAAATGAGCAAAGAGTGTAGAAGTAGATAAAAATATACAAAGACCGAGAAAATAACAAAAGAAACGGTTTAAGACAATGACTACTCAAGAAGGGGGAAAAAAATTAACCAACCGTTAACGTCATTACCGTTGAAGTGAATTAAATAGGAAAAGAATATTAAGCCTTTTTCAGTAGATTCGAAGCCTCCTCTCTCATGTTTAAAAGATCGTTGTTATCTTTATCGAAGCTCAGGCCCATATTAGCCGTGGTAATGACATCTGCATACTTCTTCAGTGCGAGCTCTGTGGCGCCCTTACGTACATAGCCCCTTGGCCAAGACGGGTTTAGTTGAACACATCGTATGGAGTCCCAGTAAGCACTCTCATAGGCCTTTTGATTAAAGTAGGAAACAGCACGATTACTGAAGTAAGTAGCGTTTTTATTATCCAAATGTATGGCCAGAGTATAGAACTTTGTGGCTTTAACATATTCCCCTTGCGTGAAAAATTTGTTACCATGGTTTTTATACCGAGCAGCCTCCTCCACACGTTTTTCGGCAGATATCTGTGGCTTATTTAAGTCCTTTAATAAATCTGTTTTTTTAGTGCGAGTTGCAACATCGATTGGTGTTTCATTATCCTTATTTTTTGCCAATGGATTCGCGCCACAGTCGAGCAGCAGTCTGATGTATCCTATGCTACTGTGCTCGACTGCGATATGCAGCGGTGTTGTCCCATCTTCAGGGATAACAATGTTGGGGTTGGCACCATGTTCCAAAAGAAACTCCACGGAACCGAATTGTTTCATAAAAATAGCAGTGAACAGTGGCGTTCCACCATGACTGTCCGTAATATCCACAGGAATGTTGTACACGTACAGCATGGTGCCAATACAGTCAATATTGCCAGAATGACACGCCCAATGAAGAAGACTTCCGGACTCATTCCCCTCGAAGACAGTTTTAGAGCCTAGCTCGACAAGCAGTTGTATGCATTTCAGGTAACCCATCGACGCAGCGTAGTGTATCGCAGTACTTCCTGAGGAACTTTCCTTGTTCACATCAGCACCTGCATTTACTAACAGGCGAATAGACTCCAGCTGTTGGCCCCTCACCGCCATCACCAACGGAGCGTTTCCATCGAAGTTCTCCAAATCAATTTCTGGCTTATGCTCAAGGAGCATTTTAATCATAGGTGCGTCGCCATTGAAGGCTGCAAAGTGAAGCGCACTGTAGCCCCCCGCCTCCACACTATTCAAAAGAGAAGGATTTTGCTTCAATAGATTTTTGCAATGTTCTACCTCTTTGGCACGCACAGCACGAAGAAACTCTTCGATTTCTGGAGCAATACGAACAGCGTCTTCCATCCTTAAATTCTTATATCGATATATATATGTATATATATATATATATATATATATAATGATATATAGTCTTTTCCCTTTTTAAATGTTGCTTACAAGTTTATCGGTAGATTGGATTCTTAAAAATAGCCACAAAAAGAATAATTAAGAATTAACTTTGGGATGAAAAAGTTTTTCATATTGATCAAAAGGAAAAAAAAGAAGGACATGAAATTCAGATAAAGCAAAAAAAATTGTTTTTGAAATAAGGAATATTACAATAAGTTAAATACAAAAAAGCTTTAGATAACCATAAGAAAAATTAAAGGAAAAAGGTTAGGAAATTTGCGTTACAAATTCATTTTCACGAAATAGCAATTTCTCTTAGCAACATAACACCACTTAAGCAATAATCAACGTAAATACACCAATTCTTAATTCATACTCAGAACATTATGAATCGTATTCAACAAGCAATCTAGTTTAGCATAAGAAATTACCCACAAACGTTTTTGATTCCTACTGTTGTTGTCTTAAATGTACCATTTATATTGCTATCTATGGGGGAATGATAAACCACCATTTCAGAAAAACGTGGTGGCTATGGGTGGGACATGAAAAATATATTGTTGCAAAGGGCATATGAAGTTTCAAGTGTAGATGAAATTTCGGTTAAGATATTATTTTTGCATCTATTGTCCCATATTCGTTACTGCGAATCGCCAATTTTACCTTGGGAACAACACACCAATGATATAGGATATAGTTGGAACAGGAATAGTATTAGCAATGTAATCTATTAAGTTCCCTCAAAGGCATCCCCATCCGTGTACGCTCGCGCAAAGATATCTAAAGACATGCTCTCACCGGCCGCATACAGAACATTTCCTGTACTATTCCATGAAATCGCGTGATAAGAAGTTGCGTTTGGTCCATTATCAGCGCGAGAAGTGGCCGGGATATGACCCCCATTTGAAAAGGAAATAAGATATATACCCGTCAACGTCGACACCGCACACTGCATAGAATTGTTGATGGAGAGGCTAAGCACTGCACTATCCATGTCCCGCACGAGAGGGTGGCCTAACATGCGCATGTCATCAAATACGATGCGGCGATCAAGCCCACCGGTGAAGATGTAATCCCCGCAAGTACCGATTGCAGAAACAGAGCTGTAGTGGTGCGTCACACTTGACACGCTTTGACGAGTGCGGACATCGTAAATGATAATCGAGCGATCACGAGAACCGGTGATAATCGTCGTGTCACGATCGGAAGGGACATGCATGGCAGTAAGGATATCGGAATGATCGTGATACTCCTGCACCAACTGCGTTCGATCATACAGAAGCAACGGGTTGGAGGTTGGAGTGCTGACGCCGACACCAAAACGGACGGTCCCCGCATTGCGAAGGCTCCGAACACAAGTAATAAAGCGGGCACTTTTCGGCTCCACTGCACCGCTCTCCTCCCAGTGGGACTCCCGAGAGCTTCCCTCCTCGCTATACAACACTACTGCCGGTGGAATGCTAGGATTAGCGCATACCATGCCAACAATCAGAGTACGGCCGCGATTAGCAAGGTCAAGCGACGCAGCATAATGTCTGGCGAGAACAATGTTCTCAGTGAGAGTCCCGGTTCGATCCCACGTGCCGATGGTCCCATCCACCGAGGAGGTGACAACCGCCTCCCGATAGTTCGTGCCGCCACAATATGCCAAGGAAAGAATAAGATGGGAATGGTGAGCACTAGACCGAACCATGCTAAGTACTGGTTTGTTTTGTGACCATCCGAATGCATCCATAATATACTCTACATCATACAAGAACGAATCGTCCCGCTGTGCAGTAGCCACAGTCGTGCGAAGAAGCTCAAGTGTTTGCGAATCGCATTGTCTAAGGGGTTCATACGCGACCTCCACCAACTTTCCAAGGCAAGTTATGCCGGCGGTGCGAGTAACATCCAGGCGGATCATCTGCACAATCGTCATCACAACGCTACGAAGACTCAAAAGTTCGGATTTTGTCATAGCCGCCAGTGTCTCTGCATAGGGTAAGAGAGGCCGCCTGCTGCAATCCAGTCTCTGGGGTTTTGAAAGGAAGCTCATTATTCGTTGAGATAGTTCGTTTTTCACCTTTTCCTTCGCAGGATCTGGAAGTCGGCATATAACCGCAATAAAAGGTTGAAGGGAATTTCCGTCTTCGAAACGCTGTGTACTAAAAAAAACATCGGAGCACAAAATGTCAAGACAGTCATCAAACACAGGAGTGAAACTGAGGCGTTCGAAAATTTCAGCTGTGATCTGCTCATATTTTTTATCTGCCATAGCTTCCTTAATGCGAGCTGAAAGAGAAATTTTGTCAGTAACCATGCGAATATAAACATTGGGGTTAATGCACTCTAAAGCTTGTTGTACACGTGAGCCCCTCGCTAACTCCATCTCCTGGAGTTCAACATCGACTGTAATTTTCATCACGCAACAATGTGACAAAAGATTGTCTTGAAATGGATAAAAGACAAAAATGACTAATTAAAAAAAGGATAAAAATAAAAATATTTTGTCTTTTAAATATGCATAAAGAAAAGGTGGAAAAAAGGAAACGATACTAAGAAGTACAAATTCAAATAAGATAGTCAAAAAAACAAGTTAACCCACATTTGCATATAGAAATAGGAGGTGTGCGACAAATTGTCTAAAATTATACCCTCGATCCTTTTATGACTCCTTCCGAGCGAACTGGGTTCTGTTGCGAGAAGATTCCGCTCCCTTGTTCTCCCGCCTATGCGGACGCTTGGGGTCGAGAAGGGGGTAAAATTTCCACTGAATACGAGGAAGAGAATAAGCTGATTCGAAATCACAACGACAAAAGGCCTTCCAAAAGTCAATAGACAACGGTTTCCCTGACACCTGTGCGTCCTCAGGAACCTTTTCAGATTGGCCATATCGCTTTATGAGATCTTTAACCGTATCAAATCTCATGACATCCTTGAAAGGTTCATAAAGATGCATTATGTCATGCCTACGCGAGGAGTACAATAGATACACCCAGCGGGCGTGATCCTCGGTAAAGTCATTTTCAAGAGGGCAAAACAAGGGAAATTTTAAATCTTTACTTATCTGGTTCGATACAATAGTAATGTCGTTCTTATATTCATTTGGAATGCATTTCAAATAGCGATCAACTATTATTCGCTCTGCAGCACAGTCCTTCAAGTATCGGTTACTCGTATTATAATGGTAGCATTGCTCCTCGTGCTCCTTACAGTTGTACTTCCGCATCTTGGCATTATAACCATGGCAGAAGGGCCCCTGCACAACAAGGCGCACCTCGGATGAAGACTTAGGTGCCCATACGCCAAATAGCTGTATTCCATCCAAATATTCAATCTCATCGGGTGTATTGTCATCATCCTCACACTTTTGACCTGATGAATCCGTTGAAGGTGGGTAAGGAGGATGGAACTTTAGCATGGCTGCTACTGCTTTCAAAGACCAACACCAGCTTCGCTGTGCGGCATTGTCACGAATCATCATCTCAGTGTGCTCAATGTTCTTTTGCATTTTCTTGGGCACCCCTGTGCGGATATCACTAATAAGGTATAGATCATACTGAGTGCCGTACATCCTCGAGAGCCGTAAACATAACTCATCGGTGCAGTAATCATTTATGAGCTCAATGATGGGGCCTTGCACATCCTCTGCAATGACTTCTACCTCTTCACAAAATGGCGCCGGGTCGATCAAAATAAAACGAGCCTCCGCGAATAAACGGAACAGTATTGGTAGATGAGAACCGTTCGCTGCTCCGGCATACACCACCAAGACGGGTCGCTGCTTGTGGTCCGATTCTATGATATCGCACTTTCGCTTATCAAAAATAGCTGTAAGGAACTCTATCTCCGATAGCAGCAGTTTCCGCTGACCAAAATGAAGACCTTTGACACTAATACTATCTAGCGAAAGAGTTTCCGACGTTGGTTTGTAAGGAGTACGAGGACATCGAGAGTCCAATATGCGGGAACTGTCAAAGTACATCGAGTAAACAACTACACAGTCAATAGGGAATGCGCCATGTGTATTGAAAAAATTCGGGAAAAGGAAGAAAATGGAAAATATAAGCAGGAGCACACGCGTGCGCCTCAAAGAGATGGACTGCATCATAAAGTATAAAGCGGGACATCAGATGGAAAGCTAAAAACGAAGAGAAAGGTTTACATTGAAACAAAAGAGGAAAAAAAAGGTGAATAAACGTAATATTCCCTTTTATACATTGGTTGTTTTTTCTCTTTTAATCTTCGCTACAACCAAGCGGGAAACTCCTTCATTTCTGATCGTCATAAATAAACACATGGCGACGACTCAGTTTCTGCATCATGAACTCTAACACAGATAATTGTTTCTCTAAAGCCTCCTGGTGTAATTTCTTTGAGACTGTTTGCGAGCTATTGAATCCACTAGTTTGATACTCTTTGTTAGCAGAATCCCAACACACCTGCAAGCCATTACGAAGCTCAACTAACTCATCGTAAGACAGCTCCGACCACTTTTCGCTCGTCGCCTTAGCTTCCGTAGCAAGAGTTTGAACCATTTGCCGTCTATTCTGAATTTCTTCCTTTATTTCTTGCAAATAGGTTGGGACTTTCCCAAAGTCACTTCGATCCGTCGAATTAGGCGGTGGCACAGGAATTTGCTTAGAGGGAATAGCCATTGTGACCTCGACGGAGTTGGCCAACACGAAGTTTTTGTCTGTTTTCATTCCCATCACAGGATGGTCGTGCCGACAAGAGATATCCGGCTTCACCTTTTCATGTGAGCACGCACTCTTCTTAAAATTCGTTTCATTCACCGCTGGTGCCCCACGGCTGGCAGTGAAAGGTCCCTGATTCTTTTTCAAGTAATTCGATGGGTTTATAGTATCTGCGACGCTTCGCCCAAACAATCCGATAGGTTTTTTACTTGGATGGACTGAAGGGTCAGTAAACTCGCCTCCAACATTTCCCAAGACAGCACTGGTGCCATGCAACCCAAATGTGGAAGCGGTTGGAGGAGGAACTTTCCGCAAAGGGGCCTTCTTTCCCTTCAAAGCCATCTCAGGTTGTGCGGCTGGCTCAAAGCTATCAGCGACAACATCGTAAATGCACTCTCCGGACATCTCTAAGTAAAACGGCCAAAAAATAATGTGTGCAATATACTTCTATTCAGGAAAGAGGATCGAAGATAAAACAAGAACCAAAAACTATAAGCCCTAAGACGGGGCACAAGCCAAGAGCATCGATTTGTTAAGTAGTAAAAGGATTACTCGGGGATCAAAAGAATAACATATGTACTCTCTAGATAATTCTTTAAGATTTTAAGGCATTTCACGAATTTAAAAAGCCTAACTTATAAACGCAATAAGAGAAATATTCGATTAAAAGAAAGAAAATATATAACCAAAAAGTTGATAAATAGATACTTCACTTCAGGTTATTCGATTGTGTGGCCCTCACCTTCACCCCTAGAGGAAGGGATAATACAATCCATTGCCAAGAAATCTTCAGGTAGGCATAGAAAACATCCAATAGGATAGGTACATGTAGTATTGTGATGTCCACCTAATGGGCAGGCATTCGGTCCAGGACACGGAATTTTCTCCACTTCAATGGAACCTGTCCAGCGTTCGTCGCATCGATCGCAAAGGTAACGCGTGGCAAAGGATCGATGAGTTGCCGGATTACAACAATAGCTACATTTGTAAATGACATATTCGCGGTCATGTTTCGAACAATGGAAGTCCGTTTTGCAGTTTTCACATAACAAGCTACTCGGATCCTTTGCTGGCTCCCCTCCCTGCATTCGGAAGCAAATGTTTTCACCTCCTAAAAAGGGATTAGAACATTTACTGCAAATGTAAAACAGCAGATCATCCTCGGTTTTAGAGGGATATATCAATTGAACCATTTTGCGCTTTTGAAGGGACACATTGGAGAAAAGCTCTCTAATACATTTCGAAGCTGGCTGTATCAATGGATGCCGAACCAAATGTTTGCAGCCCCCCGGACACATCGCACGTGTGAAAGATATGTGGCTTCCTTTTTTTTTGAACTCATCCCAATTATTTACCCATTCCAAAACACATTCGATATGGAATTGATGACTACAATCTAACGTCAAACTTCCAGATTCGTCTAACTCACACAAGCACAAGACACAAATTCGTTCCGTTTCCATAACTGGCGAGTGAAGCAGGTGAATATGCTCCGACCTACCTGGAATAGAGCGTCTAAGACCATTCGGATAAATTAAAACTTTGGCGTCTTTGTCTAGTTGAATAACATCATTTTGATCCACAACAAAACAATGCTCAATTGAAGAAAGGGTGGGGGTGCACGCGTTCCCCTCTTCGGTCACACTTACTGCAGCGCATTTTGAAGCCACCCAGACAACAGCAGCATTTCGGTAATTACCTAAGAGTTTCATACTCACAACTTCGTGAATCTTATTCACCCCATTATCAAAACTGTAGCCATAAAGATCTCCTGTTTCATTTAGAACTACAAATCCATTGCCGCCCGGCTCAAAGTCTGCGACTTCGCAAGGCATTTCTAGCGTTTCAGTCACTCCACTGAGGGGATCGTAGGAGAAAATAAAATGACCTTTCTTCTGCGCACAAAACACTTTATTATGGAAAAAAATAATCTTTTTCACGGGATGTGAAAATTTTGTGATGAGCTTAGCGGGTTCCGATGGACACCACGACAGCAAAGACTCTGGTGAGTATTCGGGAACATAATAAATACTGTCAGTCGCAAAGCAAGCCGCGGAAACAGGAACGTGGGGGAGTGTCCCAATCTTTTCGTGCCCAACATCTACAGCCCTATCTCTGAGACGGAAAACATCCTGCCCGTTAATTAGAAATGCTGGCATCGATATCAATCCCTAATAAGTGTATAGACTGTTCAAGTTTAGGAAATAGATGAATGTGACCCCGCTACCTATCAAAAAATATGAAATTAAGAAAACTAGTATATGAATTATATATGGGTAAGACGAATACCCGACTGTAAGTAAATTCATGAACTACTGCAAAATGTCGACGGTTTGTATATAAATAGAATAACTGAAATATACCCCTTCTATTTCACTTATTATATTTGAAAAACTTACCAATAGTGTACTCTAACAATATATAGCTAATAATTCATATATTCTAAAAGTATGACGCAAAGTCAATACAGAAGTAATGAATCATAAATTGGTATATTTGTACATTTTCTATTTTCTTCAATAAAAAAAAACTGCCGATGATAATGGCATCTTAATATGGGAAAAACGTCTAAAATAGAATCAGGCTAGGTGCTTGCATTACAACTAGCGCTGTTCTTCCCTATTTTCGGAATCAAGGAAAGAAAGCTAAGCAGGCTTCCAGGAAGCCGGATGTTGGTAATTCAATCCATCCCCATAGTTCTGTTGGTGGTATCCACCGCTGGTAGTACTCTGCGGTAGTGAAGCCGGTGCCATCATCTGATTTTGGGGAGTCATATCGGCAGTATTATATCGGTATCCAGGACTATAATGCATCGGATACCTCGGTGGCATACCATACATGCTCCATGGACTTAGCGACAATCGAACACCAGCACGGATATCATTCTCCGATTCACGAATACTGCGCTTCCCAGATTCTATTCCACAACGGTAAAAAACAAGAGATAAACACAAGGCTATCGGAATCAAAACAATGAAAAAAATAAGATACCAAAAATGCCCGACACATTGACTAGTATCAGGTATAGGAGGAATATCCGTGTCTCTTTGGATAAAGCTATTTAATCCGCTCTCATCATTAGGAAACGCTAATAAAAGCACTGAATCAGATCTATTCATTGCACTACAGTTTACAGGCGCCCCAACCGTACCATTTCGTTTTGAAGTGAATGTATGATAATATGTCTTAGAATAGGCTGAGTCTCTTGAATTTTGGCTTGAAGAATTGTTCATGCATGCACTCGGAATTTTTGGCAAATAAGATCCAAAAGAGAGAGTGCGGTGAAGCATTTTGGCTAAAGATGCCTCCCTACCATGTAGCGCAATTGGTACGCTTGATTTCCGTACGCATGTCACAAGTGAATTAAGATTGGCAATTTCTCCCCGATAATCACATGCCTTAGATACCCTCACCATAGTAGGCTGAAATCCAGGGCTTTCCAGAAACATGGGCCTGAGAAAATGACCGGTGTTCTCCGATAGTACTTTAGCAATTTCCACAGAAGCCCTATCCATGACAGAAACAGCTTTACGCACCGAATATTTTGAGCCATTAAACCGTGCTGATAGAACAGCAATCAGGTCAGAATATTTTGCGTAGACGCGTACATTGATGATTGAGAGAGGCGTAGAAGCATTCACTATAGAAGATATTGTTGTCTCCAGCATTGCCATTGCAACATATTCTTGATTATATGATGATGCATCACGCAAAACTAGTTCTCTATTATATTCAAGGAAGGTCCATTTATTTTCTGCTCTTGCTGAAAGAATCAAGGGGAATTGTATAAAAATATAAGCAAAAAGCAATACGCAATATAAAATCTTCATTTCCTAATTTACCCTATACATTTAGACAAAAAAAAGGGGAAAAGAAGGGGTAAAGTTACACATTACACAGATAAGAATAAGAATGTTAACTTTTACAAGAAGAACCCCATTTCTTGCAATTATTATGCCAATCATGCATGGTTTCAGTTCCTCAAGGATATAATGAATAAAAACGTAAAAATCAAAATATATAATTTTTCCCATGATAGGTAGTGAAAATGAATAAGAGGCATTGCATTAGCCTTAGAAAAACAAAACACAATGGACCAGATTTCGATTTACGAAGCTAAAAGTATTTTCGCATCGTTTACACGTAGCTCTGACCTGAGTACTATTTCGGTAAGTAGTTTACAGAGATTAGAGAAGTAGAAATATTTGCGTTTGAAGCCATACCAACCTAAATGTTTTTTATAATGCCAATGATATTACGACTCCGGCGTAGAAAATAAAGCGAATGAACGCCCTCCCACCGAGACAAAAAAAAATGAATAGAGCAGAATAATCTCCTTCGGGTAGGATTTATTATATTTAGTGTAGTTTTAGAGACGCCAAGACGATTTTCAGAACGACATATTAGAGGAACAAGCTGTTGGCATTGCATGAGAAGAAAAAATAATGCATCCGGTAGGTTTTGCTACTGAAAAAATGCCAGCAAAAATATTTTAAAAAAGCAAACTATAAAATCGTTTCATAAAAATTTAAAGATTGAGTAGTACATATCGAGTCGATACTTTGCCATATTATTTTCAAAGAAAAACTTCATACAGATGCTTAAACAAGTGAGGGTATGCTTCAGACCCTTTCTCAATACATCCGTTACCCCCTTTAACATGCAAAACGTCACCCTTGACTCTTTCCAGAAACAATACATCTGGTTTCAATCTTCGTCTAGATGACTCTCTCTCTCTCTGACGAAAGAATCATAGTTTAGAATATATTGAACACACGTCGCGAAATGGGTGGTATTAACCAATGTTGATGAAAAATCATATATAGACTAAGAGTAAAATAAAAATTCCTAGAATACACTGACACCAAACAACAAGGATGGAAGCACTAGTTGCCGTAGTGTGAATCAATAAGATACAGTGCGAATAACGGCTAAATATCCCATAAACTCTCACTTCTTAAATTAATTCTACATTAAATAAAAAGTCAGGGCACGCCGTTAGAGTACATATTGGCTTCAAAAAGTAATCCAAACGTTACAAAGAGTATTCTGAGCCGTACTAACATACAAAAAACATTGCATATCTATGACAACACCAAAGGCTCCCATAGAGTATTTCACCCTACGATGTCACACTGTTATGAGCGAATCCAGCACTAAATCGACCTTCACTATGGTAGCTCGTAGACTCTTTGAGAAATACTTTCATCTAAACAGATCCAATGAATTATAAATCCAAATTCATAGTAGTTGAACAATCTTAGGGTGGAAGAATAAACTAGACTAATGTAATAATCTGATGATTAAAGTGAAAGAGGGGAGAAAAAAACGTATGTTGGCAGGTCAAATTCTAAAACGAATTGGAAATATAGAAACCTTTACCATAAGCGGAATCTGCTGAACATACTTTTCAATATCAAAATAACAAGAACATGACAAAATTAGCCCTTTTACTTCTTAGGAGCACTCTTGGGGACTGGCACGCGTTCCTTCTTCTCAGACATGAAAAGCTGCACGTGGCATGGGCTGCACATGTACGGTGTGATGCGGCCATGCGCACGGAACGTACGGCGACGCATACGAGCGGCCTGATCGACCTGGACATGCTTAATAATCATCTTGTTGGGGTCCAAGCCCTTTTCAATCGCATTCGCCTCGGCATTCTTGAGCAACGAGAGTATCGCAATAACAGACTTGCGCGGCCAGCGGCCCTTGGTCTGCCCCCACTCCTTCGCCTGGGCTGTGCGACCAATCTTGCCGTTGTAGCGCTTAAATGGGATGCAGCGAGTCTTGGCTAAAACTTGGCGGTAAAGCTGCTGCGCCTTACGCAGTGGCATGCCATTGATGACGTTGGCAGTCTCAAAGGTGTTCTTGAAGTGGCAACGAAGGTCACTTATCTTGGCCTTCGCACTCTTGGAGGACACCTGGGGCTTACGCGAATAGTGCACCATCTTCTTGCTAATTTGCCTACCATGAGAAAAAAAACGGAATATGAAATTCACAGAAAGGAAGGTAGGAAGTATTGGGAAGCACAAAAGAGATCATGGGGTACGCTGAAACATTTTTGCACCTCAAATGAGAATCACTAGTAAGGAAAGTAAGTAAAAAGTATTATCGCCAAAATTGTATGAGTATGAACTATTATGAATTCCTATTAGGTGTGAAATTTGCCTTCTTGTTTTGATAACTTGAGGTCGGTATCCTAAAATCTCGCCTTTGACTGAACTTCTCGCTTTTCATACGCTCAAATTTTTCTTTTTTCTCACGCCCCTGGCACAAACTCACGCCCATCGTCGTCAAGGAAACCATTTTCACACCATTTTCAGTTCTCACAATAAAAAAATTACTTTGTTTTGAAACAAATTTCCCTAAGCCGTCGTAAGCCACAAGAAGCTCTTTTACTTCATCCGAAAGGCTTTGTGCCCACTTGCTGACTGGAACCCAAGACTTTTCGACGGGAAAAAGCTCTAAAAGTTTCGCGACTAATTGCGGCTCACTCATTTGAATTGCAGCATTGCCCATACGGCATTTGTCACCGTATCCGTTTCCTGGGCGCTTAGGTCCTGTCGTGGCGGCATTGTAGTGGCGTGCAAATAATAGCACTTTAGTAAATCTATTCACTCCGAACCCTCTTATCATTGACTCTTTTACGTAAGAATCATTCGAGCTAACTATTAAGGAAAAAAAATAAAATTTTTTGACAAGAAACTTTGAGACAGACAATGGTATCGAAGAATACCACAGTTTAATACCATTAAATGCATAAAGAAAAAAAATAAACATAATACGCTGTTTTAAAAGAAACAGCAAAGCATCGTTAGGATAATTTTTTTTGTGGAAAACGTGTAAAACTCGGGCTTATAAGAAAGAAATAGCAAACAGGTAGATTTAATATTACAAACTACCAACAATAAATTAAACTATACGTATCTCCTAAACAGATCGATCCATATCCGGTAAAGATAAGTGTTATTACGCTAACACACGAGAAACATAAATATCGCTTTTCCTTTTTGAGTCAGTTAATTGAATTGGAGAGCGGTTAGTTCTAGTAGAAATAATTTGCTGATGATTAGTGATTACACAGAGGATCGGAATTCGGTGTTTTGGGGGACCATTCTGCAGGAGCTCCGCTCGACCAGTCTACACCTGCAAATTCACTGGGCAATGCATTGGCTAATATCTCACTTGTAGAGAAGTAAGGATCAATATGACTGAGATTTATTTGTTGCCCACATGTTTGCGCGGGGATAGGTGAAGTCGGTCCGAAAAGTTCATCCATTGAAACAATGACTTTGGGAAGCCCACTTGCTGATTCAAAAGAGGTCTCGTTAAGATTTTCCGTTGTTGCTGCCTGCAGTTGTGGTTCTTCCGAAGAAAGATTCTCTTTCTCAACTTGTTGTGGCTCCTGCTTACGTATACTAATACTTTCAAGAGTGCAGACCTCCACGAGAGGCATTTCACTTTCAAGCACATCCTGCTCAAGGTCGCGTAAAACATTCTCCGGTGGAAGTCTTAAAATCGGAATCTCCTCAGTAAATACACGTGAGGACTGAGAAATCGAATCGAAGAAAATTTTTAAGCCGCCAATAGCACGAGTAAATCTCGCATACAAATCAAGCCATATTTTCTTTAATGGTACTGGAAATTCTTCAAAACCCCCCAAAATAAACACCACAGGGGTAGAAAGTAATTTAAAAAGGCGCTTACCGTCCTTCAGCAGCTCTTCAAACGCTTTCATGGTACAAAAATTATTGACAATGTTTTCGGAGTACTTGATATTAACAAGTGTCTCAAGTATTCTCAACAGCGATTCAAATATTGGAAAAAGTGACTCAGCATTCAATGATAGCAAATAATCTTCAAATGAAGGAGTTTCGATACGTTTGTTATAGCCAATAAATCTCTGAGCAATGCGACGTGCTTCTAAATAATGCATATACTGCTCGATGAAATATTTATGGAAAGTAGCATCGTACGTATCAGAAAATTTCTTTAGCGGCTTAAACAAGCATTCTTCATCGCAAATGTCTTGAACAATTATATCCGAGCCAGAAGACAACAATTGGTGAAAAACAACTACTGTTTTCATAACAATAACCCAATTGTATGTGTGTAATCTTTTAATAAGCTCAATAACAATATACTTACTTACTGTCAATCCATTTTTATGGATTTCATGGCAGTGATTATAAGACGCAGCCAACAATATTTGCACATATTTTTCTTTTGGTGCCTTTAACATGTGGCTTGTCGCCTTCATCAATGCCCTGTCAATCTGATTTCCGGTTAAAATGCTAAGACCTATTGTAGCCTTTTCACGGAAATAGCCACTACTCATCTTCACATCAGTGTAGTTCATTGTTTACCTTCAAAAAAGCAACTCGTAGGTATACTTTCATTAATAAATACGTTACTTCAAGAAGAAAAAAAGATGAAGAAGAGAGAAACGCATGTGTCAGAGCGCGTTAAGCTCGAGAAATGAAAATTTCAAACGCACAATACTAAGTTGACGAATACGAAGCCCCAAAGATGAAGCATTTTTCAAAGTCAACAAGTATAAACTCAAGAATTCGAATGCTTCTCACATTGTTTTAAACCTTCACCTTGTACCGATTCTATGCAAGCATCTCAACCTAAATATTCATCGTTTTTTGGCATCTAATGGCACATTTAGCCCCTTCACTTAGGGCCGACGCTTGGTTATTTTCCAAAAAGTATAGGAAAAGATTATGAAAGTAATATATACCGCACACGCCGGACCTTCCTCAAGCAAAACACGTATAATGGAGACTTCCCCGTAGGTATATATGATTGATGGCTTGATTTTTACATGACAGCAATTTAAAAAACAGATATGTGTATCAATTGAAAGTAAAAAATATTTATTTCAAAACTTCTACACCAAGACTCACAAATATACTCTTAGATTCAATGTCTCACTTAGTATTTCTGTGTAAAATTTTATTACTTACAATTTGAAAGAAATCGAAAAAATTTCACTATTACTATTTATTAATACCACACATTCATGAACTCATTGGGAATGGATACAACATGGAGGAAGTACCCTTTTTCTACAAAGACTAACGAGTACATGGGATTTACCCCCTCCATTTTCCATTTCAATGATGGAACAAATACGAAAATGGAAATCAAACAAATATCACTAGTAGAAATAACAAGCGTAAAAAAGGTATATCATTGTTGTTATCTTTACCATGATAACGTATCAGGAAGACTTTTTCCCGATTCCCTTCAGAAGGCTGCAGTGTTTTTAGACTATTTGTTCACTTTTATTCGAATATCTCTCATTAAATTCTCATCCAGATCTTGAGAGGGGGAGTGGTTGGTGTCATGGTGGCCGGTTCCATCCATACCTGCAGACATCATCGCTGGGATATACATGTCGTCGATGCCGTCGTCATCCATCCCAAACTGTACAAAGTACTGGCGACGCTCACGATATTTTAGGACCGCAAACACCAACATTCCAGAACACGCAAGTGCAGTAATACAAATGATCAACGTAGGGAAAAAACTCCTGACGCGTGGTGAGACGTCAGGGTCATCACCGGCGCTAGCTATGGATGTGCTGCCTGAAATTTCATCGATGTCATTGACCTGCAGAAGCGTAGAATTAACCTTACTAAGTGTCACGGCATAGTTGCTGCGCTCTATGGTATCGCAAGCAGGACGGCCATCTTTCAACAAGACTCCAGAGCATGCAAAAACGACATACACAACTTGTTGCCCATCAATTTCATGCGTCATACGAATTATTGTGAACGCCGAGCGCGGTACACAGAAGAGGTTTACGATCATGTTCGCGAACACATCCATGGGCTTCCTCTTTTTCATCTTAAACCGCAAGCTAGAATAGTCAACCCAAGGATCACCACCCGTCGGCGCTGTCGGACAAGCTTCTTTTGTAACAGGGTCGATGGGAATCGGAAACGATGTAGGTGTAGAATTTTGTGTAGGTCCAACTTGCGGCCAGGCGATATGGATACTGGGAATCTCCGTCCATTCCTCTCCACGGCGTTTGTAGCACACCTTATAGGAACCAGATTTTTTGGTTACCACAGTCCAAAAAGCGTAGGTGGTGTTCGGACCGAAATTGTTCTTAGGATAGAGATTAGTATTGATTGGCAATCCAGCCGATGGCGCGCCATCTTTGCACGAGTCAGTGTCATCCACAAGCTTACTCATGTCACCATTCGTCCTGGTGTCGAGGTCATAACCACAAAACTTTATTATGAATGGCACACCAGTGTAAACGGTACGGTCTTCCGTAAAAATATATGCAG